GTTGGTGACACCCTTGGAGGGTCGGCCACCCTCAGGCGCGAACGTAACAATCGCGTCTGCGTAGGGCGATCCGTCGAGGGTAACTTTACCGGTCACTTTTCCTAAGTCACCGTAATCTTCCTGAGCACAACCGACTGTCAGCATCGCCAAGACGAGGGCCAAACCAACATGAAGTTGCCATCGTTTCATCAACATTCTCAAGCCGTTTCTCAATGGAATTAGAATTCACCCAGGACCGCGCCATCTTGACGATCCGCAAGTCCAGTCAGAATGGCAAAGTCGATCGTTTCCGCCAGAAAACGGACGCTTGCATCCCCTAACGCCAAGTTCACGCCGCCTGGATGGGCCGAGATCAATGCGACGTTGACGTTATAGTTCGCGGCGTTACCAGTCCCACCTTCGGTAGCAATGGCGTATCGCACCGTGGTGACGTTGGACGTCCACGTTCCAGCACCACCGCCGTTGCCCCAAGTGCGACCGGCATGCCCGGAACTTCGGCGAGCGATCTTGGTTCCCGACGCGTTATAAAAGTAGTCGCTTTGCTCGCTGACCATCATCGTGTTACTGGTACCGTCGGTCACAGCTTCCAAGCCAATCGCGCGACTCTTGGAATTGATCGGAACGATCATCCCGTTGTAAACCGCGTCGCCGTAGCTGCTGTCTTGAGGCGAAGTCGATACCACGCTCGTGGTGCCTCCCTGAAAGTAAGAACCGGTAATGCCGACATAGTTGGCCACTTGCAAATCAACACTGCCGTTGGCGTTGGTCGACTGCGTTTCGACTTCAGGCAGTGGACTCGATGGGCAATTGAAGCCAGGCACGCGCAGCTGGCCAAGAATCGCAGCATTGGGACTTGGCCCATCCTGCATCGTCCAGTCGCCTGCGAATTCAAATTGATCGTAAGCGGCATTCTGTTCCATGAAAGGAAGCATGCGGACGAACCACGAAGGGCCACGCTGCCGATCCCCCACGCTGCCTAGCTGCGGCACCGCGTTGTACGGCAACTTGCCGTAGGTGTCGTGATAGTTGTGGATCGCCAAGCCAAGCTGCTTGAGGTGGTTGGTGCATTGCATCCGCCGAGCCGCTTCACGCGCTTGCTGGACCGCCGGAAGCAAAAGAGCAATCAGAACACCAATGATGGCGATCACCACCAGCAGTTCCACAAGCGTGAATCCGCGACGCGATCGGAAAGGAACAGACATCAGCAACATCTCCAGAGGAAGGGATAAAGGAGGAAGTCGTAATGGAAGGGAATCTCCCTTTCCAGGTTACGGACTGTTACTGATCAAATCTTGTTCCAAATCCCTTTGCCAGCACCTCAATCCTCAATGAAGTTTGCCGCACCAACACCGCACAGGGACATAGCATTCCCTAAATCGCCATCCCAGGAGATGTATCCGCCATTAAAATGAAACAGATACTGTTTTTTCAGTATCACCCTTTGCCAACGCGCGCCAGGCGATGAAAAGCTGCACTGAAAGTGCGCAGAAGTGTCACGCCAATGCTTAAACCCCTTGCTATCCCGTGATAGCGGCACGCCAGACTCCACAAAGAAGGGGTTCTAACCTTTTAGCACGGCGAATCCCTTCTTCCTAGTGTCCGAACACCACCATGGGAAGGATTCACTCCATTGCGGTTTTACGACATCGCCCCCTAGTCACTCTTTACTAAGCCGTCCCACCGTTTACAGGGAGGACCTGACCGGTGATCCAGCCTCCGTCGCTACTGGCCAGAAAGACAATGACGGGGCCCATATCTTCTGGTTCGCCAAGTCTGCCGAGGGCGGCTAGATTGGA